TGAGTTAATTTTGATTTTACAGACAAGGAAACTGAGACACTAAGAGGCTAAGAGAATTGTCCAAAGCCACCTTGGTAATTAATGAAGAGGTCAATAGCAGATTGGGTCTTCTAACCTCCACACTCTTTCTACAATGGCTGGGTACCATACGCTTTAATGATGCCTGGATCTCTTCTTGACCCAAATACGTAATGTCTGACTAAGGTGAAAGTTGACATGTCAGGCACTGACTACCCAGGGTGGCAATCCAGCCCCTTTCCCCTCAGGGTCCTCCTATTGCTCAGGAAGACTCTCATCTCACTACCAGGAGAGTCTCATCTATGACGATGGCATCTGTCAGTGACTGGGCTATGTGACATCACTGGGCTAATAACATCATCATCAGATAAGTGTTCTTTGTTTGGCTCTTTTTTTACTTAATGCAATTTTCTCTTTCAAGTTACACTGGCAGCCTCTGTAGTTTGGCATTTTGGAAGCACTTGAAAGTTAGGTTCTAGTCCAAGTCATAATTTATGAGCAGAAAGTGGAAAATTCCATTGCTCCCCTAGGTAATAGGCGCTACATTGTCCCCAGGTGATTTCTTAAGCTTCCAAGCCTCATCTGAATATGGGGCTCACAGGGATAAAGTGGGTGCCACTCACGACAATGCACCAGCGCCTAATGCTGCCAGTCTCATTTGTAACGGGACAAAAGGAAGAGACTCTGCAAAGTTGTTAAGCCAGGGCAACCCTGAAAGTAGGATTCATGGTCAATGTCATAAAATGCGCTTGCTGACGATTCTGTTTGTGCTTTTAAACAAGCAGAAGGAAAGGAAACTGAAGGCTCTCTTCTATCATGGCCTCACAAACCTGTGCAATGCCAGATTTGTAGTAAAAAATAATCACATTATTGCAAGCCTGCTATTGCAAGCCTCAGACACTGTGCTAAGAGGAAATCACTGAATACATTCTCTCTTTAATCCATATAACACATGTGTGTGGCATGTACTATTATCCCCTTTCCACACATCAAGAAGCTGAACTTAAACCATTTTAATTTTCAGACAAGGAAAAGAATGAGTGAAATAGTCCTTGCTTATAGAGATTGTGCATCATAAGCCACTGGCGGGGCAAACTTGGGCAACAGGCTCATCTCTTTGAATGACAGAGTCATGCACAATTCAAACGCTACCTGAATTCTAGCTCTAGACTACAATCACCCTGAACTTCCACTTCCAACCTCTCTAAGACTTACATCCATTCAACACAATTTATTCTTTCAACTGGAGACAGCAAAATTAAAAGTAAGTACTGAATTAACAACATTTAAAAGAAATCTTGAACCAAAACATAAATGATACATTGAATTCTGGCTTCAGATCTGGCTGTGAATCCTCCAGGCTGAACCTCTGTGGGCTCTGCTTGCCTTATATACAAAATTACCCTACCCATTCTAGGAACAGTTGAGTTAAAATATGTGCTACATTATGTAATATATGTGAAAGCACCACCTAGTTCTAATTGTTATTACTGTTATTATTATGAATGAACTGCTGGAGTAAAGTTACGTACAGGGAAGTAGAATTCGTTGTGTAAATTAAACCAGACAGCTGTTTTTGGACCAGGAAATTCTCTCCTGGTGCTGCTAAGCATTCATTCTCCCAGATCTGAGCTGCTTGTGTAAGTACAGGGAAGAATCCTCTCTCTCTCTCTCTCTCTCTCTCTCTCTCTCTCTCTCTCTCTCTCTCTCTCTCTTATCTCTTCACAGATCTTGGCTGCCTTACATTTTCAGTAGAATGAGATCTGAGTCCAATGTGGAGCCCCAAGAACTCCCAGACACGGCATTCCCTCTTCAGCCGGGCTGTGTGTCCTTAAATAGCCAACACTGATACATCTCTCAAATGGAAGGCACACAGGCTGCTTCCCCAGGAGCCAGCTAGCTAAGCCTCGCCAAGCAGACCCCCCAGTCCCATGTGTGGCCAGTGGTTTCTGTATTCTAGACACTAGCTAGGCACTTCATAGAGTGTTTTGTTCCCTGCAATTATCCCGTAGGATCAACAACCTTGGAGAGTATCACAGCTTCATCACAACCAAATGATTAGTGCAGAGCCATCAAACACACAAAGTGCAGGTCTCTGTATTTTAAGCAGTATCCCTACACAGGCCTAGGGAGAAAACTCCTTGGATATACTTTTAATTTGGGGAATGGGGTGGGGTGAAGGGAGGCTCCTTGGGTTAACAAAACACTAAGCTACAAAGCACCAGGGTATTTCTGAAAGCTAATGCTAATGACGGACACTCAGTCACTAGACCTTCCACAGGCCTGATCTATTACCCAAATTTTCCTTCTGCAAAATGTTTCCAGTACAGACTCGTGCTGGCCTTTTCTAGTCCGATATTCCTCAGTAATGAAGCCAACCCTAGCAATGCATCAATTATAGAAGCCTGGGAACTCAGTAGGAATTAGTACCTAATAGTACAGCAATTCATCCCAAGATGGTAGAGGTGTTTTGCTTCTTTCTTTTCTTTTTTTTTTTTTTTTTAAGATTTAGTAGATGCTATAATCAAGGATTATGTTCCTTTGGTAAAGCTCAGTCATGAGTAAATTAAAACTGCAAATCATGGAACTAGAAATGAAAGACCTACTAAACTCTCCCTGAGATAATTACTCAACCTTAGTGCACTGCCTTCCTGAACCTCTTAGAGCTGCCAGATGGTGGGGGGAAGCCAAAGTCCCCCAAACTGTGAGTCATATTACCAATCAGAATCGTGACATATGTGGACATCACCGAATGAGTAGTTCTGCTTATGGAGGGCGGAGACCAGCTTGGCTCTGAAGAAGGAAATGACCTTTTAAAGTTAAGATTATGGATGTGTAAATAGAGAGTGCATAATGGTGCATCTCTGTCTAAATGTCTTCATAAAGTGCAAATTAATGCAGATCCTAACTAGGCATTTGCAACGCTAACCTAGTTTTCTGTGTTTAGCTAATAGCTAGCAATTTCGCTTACACTTTTATCCTCTCATTACTTAGCAATGATGATTATTTAGTAAATACATGTGAAAGGCCATGTGCTCCGTAGCAACCTTCTTGGACTGGAAATGACCCCCTCCTAATGCTTCTGTTTATATAATATAGTTGCTGATACACCAAATCAACTATGGCTGTGACAGGTATCCCATTAACGGGAAGCTAAGAACAGATTTATTCTCAGCTGGGTCCCCTGGATAACCTGACCAAATGCAGGGGCTGGAAATGAAGGATGCTGGGAGTGGAGGTGGGGGTAGGGGGGGTGGGGGGACTGGGAGGGGTGGGAGATCCAGAGCCGCAAAGATGTTAACCCTTTGTAAATCTTGTAGGGACTCAGATGGCTTGTCTCATGTGAAAATGATTTATGATGCTGGAGAGTTAGGGAAAAGGTTATTTTATAACTGGTGAAACACGGAATGAGTTTGAAATAGACATGCAGAAGACAAATATGCAAACCACGGCCTTGTGAGATACCACCCAGTTCATTCCTGGATATACAACTTACATAAACCTTTACAAGTCACCTGGGAATTTTTCCTTAGATATGGGATGAGGTAAAATTGTTCCCACTAGGGGAATTCAGGGCACTTTCTATTATCTGCCAGGCACACGAAACACCTCTAATTTCTTAGTAGGGTGGCCAAGCCCCAAACAGAATGATTTTGGATAAAAGATTTCTTATTCCTGCCCTATGAGGAGAGCACTGCAACGGACCAGTGGTCATTGGACCTGGCTCCCGGGGAAAGGCAGACGAGGGTTTTGAATATCCAGACTCAGGCCTGGCTTACAGAGGGTGGGGCCTGGCTGCGCGGAGGGGAAGATGCAGGAAACCCGTCCCTGGCCCTCAGGGTTGCTCAAATGTGTTTGCTCACAGGGGCAGGGCTCCTGCTCTCCTCTTCTTGTTACTTCATGGGAAGTTGGCTGAGTCCCCGATTCTGCAGAGGGAATGCAGGCAGAGGGGAGCACTGCAAATGGGACTTAAACTCTGGGCACCTAAATGACAGGGTGAGGGGAAACGGGGCGGACACTGCCCGGGGTGAGGCGCTAAACCGACCAGGGACCAGGCGGGCACTGCTAATCCTGAGGCTTTTCCTCACAGCGCCCCTGCACACCGCTAACTCCCTGCACCAACAAAGACATTGCATGGAAATCAGACCCCTTCCAACACAGAGGCACCCAGGTGCAGGCAGGCAGGCAGGCACCAGCCCTACCTCATTCATCTCCACCGGCTTCACTGTCAGCTTCTAAAACCAAAGACTGGCGCGAGCAGCCTGAGGTCAGTGCGTCTGAGCCAGCACATCCTTGCCACTGGGGATTCAGAAGGACCGTGACCTAAAGTGGTATTTCTGACGCGGTGTTGTTTCTGATGGGGTTTGCTTTTATTGGGGGTGCAGGAGCGGGGCGGGCCAGGATGTTTCGCACCAGCACCAGGGGGCCTGGTGGGTCTGGGGAAAGCATGGAGGACCTCCACGTCCCTCTGGTCCCTGCCGGTATTCTCCAGTCCCGCATCCCCCCGCAGTCCCTTGGAAGTGCTTAGACACCAGGGCAGGGCTCTGCGTCCATTTTGCCAGCCAGAACCGCCGAGTTTGGTAACTTTGAAAGCCAGGGAATGGGGGTGGGGGTTGTTGCCAAGGCTCAGATTTCGGCGCCAGAGTTCTCAGCCAGAAAGCAGTTGAAAATCAACACCCATCTGCCTCTTCTTTCTCATCCCCCACCCCTTCTACGTTCCAGAACTCCATACAGATACTACTCCCTACACACATACGCACACACGCACACACACACACACACACACACACACACACCCATCGCTGGGCTTAGAAGGCTTTTAATTCCGAAGGCAGCAAGCCCGCAGAGCCGAAAGGGTCTCTGTTACCACCCCTCCCCTCCCACTCCCGCGAGGCCGCTTGAGTGTCTTCCACACAATAAATAAAACCCCATACATTCCAAAATACAACACAACCCGCCCGTGACTCCAGCGCGTCCCATACCTGATATGCAGACGATGAAATTGGCTTGAAGAAGAAAAAGCACCTCCCAGACTATTTCCATCCTCTGATTCTCATTCCAAGTGCATCACTCGACGGGAAAACGGGGGGCCGGGGGGAGCCCGACACGGCACACACACATACACACACGCACACACTTCCGAGCGAGCGCACACTCGACTCCCACCGGACAGCCGGCCAGGGGCAGTCACCCCCAAGATCAATATCGCAGTTTGAATTGTTCTGGCAAATCTCCCCTCGGGCTCGACGGATGTGCGCCCCAGACGTGCTGACACATGTCCGATGTCTCTCTGCCCCGGAGGTCTCGCCGCTCAACGGTCTCTGCTTCTAGCCTGAGTGGCGGAAACAACACCAGCGGAGGCGGCGGCAGCCACCTGAAGCCACCAGCGCCGGGCTCTTTCTGCAAAAACGAGACCCCGATCCGCCGGGCGCCCCAAGAAGACATAGACGATAGCCCCCCGCCGGGCCGCGCCGCGCCGTTCCGGGCCCCCGGCCGCTCGCAGCTCGCTGGCTGAGCCCAGGCAGTCCGCGACAAGTTGCCCTCGAAGTCCGCCCCCTCACCGGGGCATGGTCAGAGGGTGGCTGGTCCTCTCGGGGGCCGCTGTCCTCCTGCTTCTGGGGGTCGGGGGGAGGAGCAGGCGCAGCAGACAGAGAGACAGAGACAGAGAGGTAGGGTTTAGTGCCCGAAACCGCCGGCCGCCGGCAGCCTCCGCCGACCCTCCCGGTTCCAAAGTCCGCGCGCAGCCTGGCGCCCCCACGCCCGGTCTGGGCGGCGCATCCAGGGCTCGGAGCGGGAACGCAGGAGAGCCGGGGACCCAGGTGCGTCGGGAGCCTACGGGCTCCCCACGTCGCGCGCGCGCTTTCCGTGCTTCTGCTATTTTCCTGGGCTCCCGAGAACCCTCGCTTCCCTCGCCCGCAACTAGCGCCGCCGCCGCCGCCGCCGCCGCCGCCGAGATTTTCCGCAATGCAACTGCAGGGGTCGTTATTTCCTCGCCTACGGATCCGGACGCTACCCGATTCGGAGGGGAGGAGGAGGGGAGCTGGGGGCGGGAGGTGGGAAGGGGGAGGCTGGGCCAGGTGAGCGTCCTGGCGCCCGCCGGGAGACCCAACCGCAGCCTGGCCTCCCGCTCCCGGAGGCGGAGACGCGAAGGCCGGGATGGAGAGGTGAGGTTCCACGCGGTCATAAGGACGACCGGAGCACCAGGCGTCGGAGCTTCGGGCCACCGCGGAAGCCGCCCGGGCCCTAGCCTGGCTCCGACTCCGCCCCGCCAGTCTCTGTCACCCTCCGGAATTTGGGGAGTTTCTCTTCTCCTTAAAAAACAACTTCGCGTCAGCCAGTTCGTCGCGGGAGCCCAGGGCAGGACTCATCCAGCGAGTGCTGCCGGGCTCTCCCTCTGCTGCGGAATATTGAGGATTTTTTTTTTTCGTAATTCGTTCCCTGCCCTTTACCCCTCGTCCCTCTCGGGTCCCCTTCCTCCTCCCTCCCTCCCCGCTCCAGTGCCACAACAGTACTTACCCCAGAGTTCTCCGCTCTGCAGGTTCCTAGAGCACGTGCAACTCTTGCCTGCAAGTCCCTTCACCTCCCTCCTCCCGAAAGTAGAAAAAGCATCTGTGCAAGTCCGGGTGTGAGCCACAGCCTCGGCCAACTGCGCCTCCGCAGTGCTCCGGAAGGATCCCAGACTATTGGAAACCAGGGCTTTAGGGGAACGGGCTCCGCTTTTTTTTTTTTTCAGTCGTTTTTTTCTTTCTGGAAGCTCGAGTGCTTTGGAAGCTTTTGCTGAGGTCCAGTATACTCTCTGCCCCTGACACTCAGCTGCTTCCAGTGATGATTTCCCCACCAAATCCGCGCGCGCGCTCGCGCGCACGCCCGGCGCGCGGCTGGCGGAGGCCCCGGGGGAAGGTGGGAGCGGCGGGAGCACCAACCACCGCCCAGGCGAAGCCGGAGCCCGCGGGTACGTGGGTCTCGAGACGAGCAGGCTGTCTGAGGCCAAGGAAGCACTTGTACCGATTCAGGCCCTTGCGATGTAGATGCAAGCGATTGGAAGGAAATCCTGCGCTCGGGACTGTTCGCCAGAGAAAAGCACGGGGAGCGAGGGAAAGGGAAACCGCAGCAGATTTGTGTCGCCTCTGTCGCTGCAGCAGCGGTTGGAGAAAGCCCCAGACCTACATCGTTGGGAGTACCGGAGCCGAGGAGGGAGGGTAGGGGAATCCCTGGGAAGATCTCGGATTTCTCCACGCGCTCGTTCGGAATGCAAACTGACGTTTGGGGATTTTGCACAAGCACGGATGGACACACACAGGAAAACACACACAACCCGCAGGGGATATTTTTTGTGCACATTTTTATTTTTTATGTTTAGAAGCCATTGCGGTGTGAGTCTAGGTCTAATAACCTCATAAAGGCGGGGGATGAGCGCAGAGGGGGCGGGAAATGGGAAGAGGGTACGGTTCTTCCGCGCAGTCAGTTCAGCGGGTCTCCCAGGCTGTGTGGCCCCTGACGGTTCGGTGTTGGAGCCAACGGAGTTACACCGCAGCGTTCCCGGGATTCCTGAACGGACTCCAGTTGCCTAGCAGTCTGGCGGGTCCTTTTGCAGAGTGGCGGGGGCATCGGGGAGGTGTGGGGAGAGGATGCGGGAGGGAGCAAAGCCAGACAGCAGGAGCCTTCCAGGTTGGGCTGACTTTGGGAGCCACAGCTGCGCAGTCCCGCAGCCTCCAGAGATCGGGGGAAAGAACCACCGGCAGACCTGCCGGCTCTTGAAGAAGGAGGTGTGGACGAGGGATCTGGTCTTTGACTCAGCCGCCAAGGACTCCAGGCGGTCGACGCATTAAAAATCTAGGCCCAGATGAAGAAAGAACAGGATTCTCATTTCGAGAGCTGGAGGCTCAGCAGGAAAGACATTGAGACCTCAGAGCATGAAAAGAATTTGAGATAGTGAGAATTATCCCGTTTGGGAAACGTGAGGCAGGGTGTTTGTCTCAGCTCCTTGAAAGCCCACCTCACGGAAGGACTTTCTGAAGAGAGAAAAGAGAAAGCAATTTGCCAAAGATGAACCGATTCCGACCTAGCGAGGGTTTAGAACCAAGGACCGGGACCTACCTCTTGTATCTGGGAGCCGAATTTTCTTTCGGCCAGCTGGAGAACTCTCTGGAAGCACAAGCAGGGTGCCTGGATTTTTACAACACGATTTGTTCATTTGTTTGTTTGTTTGTTTATGAATTATGCAAATACACACGTGCCTTAAATGTGTCAGGCACTGTGGCAAGGTGCTGGAGTTTTGTAATTGGACATCCATAATCTTTGTTTTCAAAAATCCTGAAGACCATATTTCCCTCTACATTTTTCCTTAAGACACAAAGCCAGTAAAATAATACTTAACGTTTCCCCCCTTTCAGACTATTCGCTTGCTGTTGGCCCTCTCAAAAATATTTCATCTGTTCTCTACCACCAAGTACTTTAATTTTAAAAAATAAACAAGAACTGTCAATTCATGAGAGTATTTGTTCAAGTAAAACTAATTGTATGCATTTATTGTTTTCTATGTGCCAGTTATTGCCAAATCCCTTGCATGAATCGGCTTATTCACTCATCATAACCTCCATCTAAGAGAAATATTATTGCTTCCATTTTACAGATCATAAAACAGAGACCCAGAGTGGCTATTTGCCCAAGGTCTCACAGCCACTAACTCGTGGTGGAGAGATCAGTCAGGATTTCCAAACTCCGAGGCCGTGCTCCACCATCTCCTCTCATGTTCTGTAAAATGGAAAGTGTCATCTTGGGGAGGTAATTTTGTAGTTAGGAAAAGCCGAAGTCCACACATGAGGCAGTGGGGTGTCCGTTAGAGGCAGAATGGGACGTAAGAGTAGAACACGTGGTTTAGAACTTCACTACAGTAGAAACGAGACAAAGGAAAGATCACTGAGAATTAGGAGTCATCAAAGGCACTCCTAATAAAAAACCCAAGTGTCTGCTAAGGGCCAACTCCATTCCTGAAATACAGAACTGGACACAACAGTCCCACAACATTAAATTTCTATATTAGCATTTTCTAGAAGAAAAATACAATATGTTCTTGCACTTCTGGGCTTAACCTGCATGTTTTCTAAGAAAAGCGCCATCTTAATCCAGAAAACTACTCAGTAAAAAGATGGAGTAAGTAGGAACCTTCTGTTATTTAAGTATTTATTCTTTAACCCATAAAAGAAGTGAAAAAAAGGGAAAACTCTGCAAAACTAAAAATACTTCTTTTGGCACTCTTTTTTTTTGTATTTTAATGAGTTTGTAGCCATACCTTGTTAACTATAATACAAAGAATCTTTCTCCATTATACCTGCCTTCGTCTTCTGTCTCTTTTCCACTCTGTATTGCTACAAACTCAGTGCAGGTGTGTTGCACACACGGGTTATAATAGAATGTCTTGGCTGAGACCAAGGGTGACGGCCAACCCCAGCTGTCCCACAGAAAGCAGGGGATTACAGTTCCTCTCCCAGGGAGAGAACAGTATTGAAGTCACTTGCGTTCTTTATCTACCTTCCTTCTCAATTGTTCTTTCTTTCATTTGCAAGCTGTCTTGTGAAGAAGCTCTGACATTGTATCTGCATCTTTATCCAACTTACAGGTATTGGCCTATGAAGTTGGAATGTAATTATTCTGTTGGGAACATGGGATATGATCCCCTATTTATTAAATGGGGAGACTTCCTTTGAAGGCCGTGGATAGTATCTAGCCAGTCATTCCTAGAGAGAGGCAGATCTTGGGACAGCAAATGAAGACTTGAAGATGAGCCTTATAGTAGAGCTGAGCAAGAAACACTTCCTTTTCACCAGTTAGGATGAGAGGGAAAGGATCCCATTAAGGATCATGTTTGCTGGTGAGGGGAAAGCCAGTTTCTGCTGCTGAGACGTGGGCTGTGAGCTAGGCAAGGAGGAAACCTTACAGTCCACAAAAACATATGCCAAGAGTAACCAACCAATGAGACTGGCATGCAATTCCATTATCTGAGAATAACCGTATCCAGTAACCAGTTAAAAAATCACCTCTGCCTGTTTTTCCTTTCTGTTGTCTGTTCAGATGACTATTGATAAGCAATGTAACATATTGTCAGCAAACTTTTGTGCTAATACTTGGGCTACAATGGTAAGGGGGATTGCAACAATTCCAAAACCAATGTAGAGGTGGTTGAAACGGCAGGAGAAAGCCCTTGGTGGCACCTCAAACTGCAGCAGGATGGACAGCGACACAAAGGGCAGGCCATAGCAGAACAGAGAGCTGTGGGGAAGAAAGAAGTGGGTGGTGGTGAAGATCTTGGCGATGTCTTGGACTGTGAGCACAGATGAGTCATCCCCACAGGGGCTCCTTAAGACTTAGTTGGAGGGGAGGACCTGAAAAGGGGACTGGGATTGGGCTACCCAACATGCAAGTTGAGGCCATCAATCGATGCGTAGCTTTCCTGTTGCCGCTGTGACAAATTATTATAAAGTTAGTGGCTTAAAATAACACAAACTTGCTTTTTATTTTGTGAATATATTTATTTATTAAAATTTTTTTGTTGTTGTTCAATTACAGTTGACTCCATTTACACAGACCTTTAATCTTTGCTGTTCTGGAGGGCAGACGTCTGAAATGAATCTTAGGAGGCTAATATCATTGTGTCTGCAGGGCTGTGTTTTTCCTGGAGGCTTGAGGGGAGTATCTATTCCTTGCCCTTTCCAGATCCTAGAATTGTCCACATTCCTTTGCTCATGGTTCCCTTTCAGCAATGGCTTTGCTCCAGTTTCTGCTTCTATTATCACATCTCCTTCTTTGACTCCTTAACTCGCTTTTATATTCTTGTACGGACCCTGGGATGACATTGGGCCCTCTGGATAATCCAGGATAACCTCCCATTTCAAAATCCTTAATTTAGTTGCATTTGCAAAACCCATTTGTCCAGGTAAGAAACATATTTACAGGTTCTAGAGAGTGGGAGGCATTATTCTGCCTACCACAAGCAGGTAGATGTATATGTCACACCAGAAATGTCAAATGTAGATCAATGAAGCTTCTTGTGAAGTAAGTAAAAAAAAAGGCAGTTATGAAATTAGCCATGTCAGCCCTGGCTGGCATAGCTCAGTGGATTGAGCGCGGGCTGCGAACCAAAGTGTCATAGGTTTGATTCCCAATCAGGGTACATTCATGGGTTGCAGGCCATGACCCCCAGCAACCGCACATTGATGTTTCTCTCTCTCTTTCTCCCTCCCTTCCCTCTCTAAAAAAATAAATAAATAAAATCTTAAAAAAAGAAGCTCGCCATTTTTCATTACTATTCAGTAATACACTGAATATTATACGTAATATGGTATCAACAGTGAGTTTAAGTGGGTTATTTGAGGTATTGATATGAGAATTTGTTCTTGATAAGAGCCAAATCAAGAGGAGGTGTTAAGGTATTTGAGTCATGCAGTTCACTTCTCTGGACCCAGAATGTGAGGATGATGGAAGAAAATACACCACCAGGAGAACAGGTTATTTTCCTCTCTTTGACATCGGACTGGATAACACGTTAGTTACCGCCAGTGCTCATCATATTTCTGAGGTAGAACATCTTCTCATCTATACTATAATTTATAACCAGCATAAGAAATTTTATTTTTTAAAGGAGCTAGCACGTATTTTATTTCTATAAAATGCTATACTTTATTTGTTGTTCAGATTTTGGCAGGTGATTATTGGCTAGGAAATGACACTAACATTGTGGTGTTTGGGTCAATGATTTGGCCATCGGTTTGGATGTTAGTGAAACCCACACTATACCTTTCTTCTTTCCATCACAATTAATCTCTCTC